TTTTTCTATGCGTTGGCTTCGGCAGCTTTTAAGAAACGTGCTGATTTTGCGGCCATTCCATAAGCTTAATTCAGTTTATGGACAGGTAGCCACAGACCTCAAATTACTGCAGCTCACTTGTCAAGAAGCAATTTGCTAAGCTGCAGCAGCCGGTGGCATGTGCTCCTTAGCCTGGTACAAGTTCCTAAGAGAAGAGGTTCAGGTTAAAAACTACCTTTGCGGTTTAAACCTTCCTCATGTGGTTTAAACTTAACCCTGGCTCCCCATCACTTGCAATGAACAGGGTTTGAAGTATTGCCTCACACGTGCAAGATGTGTGTACATGGTTATTTTGCATACCTCAGCTGACAAGATTGCTTGTGATTAGCTTCCAAAGTATTTAAAGAGAACTGGAGGGGAGAATGCTGTGCCACAAAAGTGATTTCTTTCTCCAAGTGCTTCTCCTCCCCTAACAGTTGCCTCCGCAGCAGAGCTTAGCTGCAACAACTGCAGGAGCAGGGATATCGTGTCCCCACACCAAGTGAGCACAGCCAGCTGCTCTGGAGCACACCAGAAATGAAGGAATTAGTTTGTACCGATTGCCTGACGTTGTTTGGGCCACCAGCAATAAAGCAACCAGCCTAATTGCAGGCCTGTCTTGCACAGATACTCATGGCCAGTCTGCCCTGCCACGCTCGCCCCGATAAGGGCTTGTTCTCGAAGGGGCTCTGCTGCTTGTGCGTGAGGCTGTGCCCCGTTGTGCTGTCTCGGGTTCGGTGTCTTCACCGTACGCTATCGTTTGGAAATCCCATTTTGAATCACTTTCTGGAATGCGGCTGTTGCGCCATTTCTGCTGACATGAGAACGCGTTTGTTAACTTTTTATATAGGATTAGTGCCGAATGAGCTCCCAGCAAATACAGGAATTGCCTGAAGTCCTAGAGATTAGCTTTCTGCGAGTTGAAAATGGGCCAGTCTGGACAAAGCTGGGGACTCCTGCACTTTTTCACGCATCTAACAGGGAGCTTTCTGGGGGGACACATTCTGCAAATGATGCAGAGCAGCTGCTGCCTTCAGGTGGGAAAACCCAGCTCCATACCAGGGTATGGACACAGTAAAACCCTGTAGCTCTAGTAACCCCTTTCCCCAATCCACTGTTCAAATCCCCAGCTAGTTCCGCAGTGGAAAAGGGCAGCAATCTTCCCAGAAAGAGCCGCCCTGTCCCGTGCTGAGTGGGCGAGCACATTCTTTCGAAATCTGTTTATTTTCAGCGAGCAAACCTGACACATGGGCAGTTGGGGAAAGTAAAACCTCCTGATTTCTACGCCGCAGAGGTCACGGCTGGTAGCACTGACAGCACCAGGACCCCTGGGCTTTGGCCTCTGCAGGTGAAATCCAGGTGGGCTGTGGGGCTTGGCTGGGGCTGCCAGGGCAAGAACAGGCCCCCTGTTCAGCAAGAGGGGTTAGCGAGCGAGACGAAACACCCAGATCCCGCTTTGACACTTTGAAGCCTCTACGTGCATGCTTGAATACGATACCTGCAGCGTGGCTGTTGGGCAGGTGCCTTTCTTGCTTTGCAAGCTGGAATTGCTGCTGGCCACGCGAGGAGCTAACAGCGAGGACGGCAACGCACCGTGGTCAGCGCAGCTCCCGCCGCGGTGGCACATCCGCCCCAGACCTCCCGCTTCCCTTTCCTGTTTACTGAGCCTGTGGTCCTGGCCAGGATACTTAGACCAGAGAGGTCGGCAAGGAGGTGCTGTGGCGATACCCCGCGAGACACATCCTCTGCTTGCAGCAGCCTGGGGTTGATAAGGGCAGGGGTTTCCTCCAGAAAAAAAGTGTCCAATATTCACAGAAAGTCTGTCCGGGTGCTGCAGCCCTCGGCCTCCCTGGGACGTGGCTTGGCACGTCCCCCTCGAGGACAGGGAAGTTACGTTCTGCTCACGTTTGCTCTCCGGGCCTGACTGGTGCCTTTTGCTGATGGGCTGCCTCGTTTCGAGTTGAATTCCTGTCGGCCTTCCCCAGCCCTTGCAAAACAGTTTTTACACAAGGCACGAGCTATTAATATTAGTGGTGGTTTTGAATTTATGTTGTCCTTAGATGAATTAATACACTGTTTATAAAATGTACAGGAAAAAAAAAGCTCCTATCATAGTTATATTGGTAATTTCTTGAGCTCTCTAAAGGGTCTTTAAAGATTCTCGCAGTTTGAGTTGCAGCTTCTGGCATGGTCTAACTTCTGGGAGAAAAAAAAAGTGTGATTTATTTTAGGTCTATCTTTTCATTTTCATTCTTAAGAAGGCTAATATTTGACAGATAAGCAAAATAAGAGTTCAGTCTGGTATTATTTCTGGCATCCTTCAAAAATTAATGATTTAATTGTATTCAGTCTATAGCCTCAGCATCTACCACAGTAGACGTGCAGTAGTATATAGCATTATTTTGCTTTGTAGCTCAATGAAAGAGATGGGATGCCACTGACACGGAGACTGACAGTCGTAAATCTTGTGCTTCTAGCGTTAAGAAAAGGTTTATTAAAATCAGATTAGGTGCATGGATTATAGCAGGAAAGGAACTTTGTTCTTAAGTTTATTTTCTGACTGATAATCTTGGATCATATTTTCCACAGTAACATTTCCCGCACTGAAACTCAGCCGTGATGCCTGAAAGTTAATTAAATTACTGGAGGGAGGGCTTCCTTTTTCTTTAAATAGCTGACACATTGGGTTTGGATTCTAGCCTGTGGGCTGCAAAGATAACTCCCGACTGGTATAACATAACACAGACAGAATAATGAATTCCTGATAGCTGACACGTATGAGAGACTGGGGTTTATCATTACAAGAGTGATAAATAGAGTTTGTACAAGGAAGTGGTTTGTGTGGAAGATACCCTTGCAGCTAGAGGGTAATTGGTTCAGGAGCTCCTAAATTTGCAAACGTTATTGAGGGGAAAATAGAATTTGCTTGGACTAGCTGTGGAGAGTTAATATCAGCAATTTGCTCCTAATTAAGAGCGTGAGCACTCCAGTGTTGGATTTTTGGTAGCGTTTACTGGGGAAGATGATTATTTTGCCAGACAAGGGGAATCCCTTGGCAGAAACGGACGTGTTAACCCCCATGCCAGCCGTGCTAGGGAACGAGCGGCTTCCGAGCCGATCCTTGTCCGATACCGGAGCGCCTGCTCGCTGGCTCCTCGCCCAAAGGCTAGGCCAGGCCCTGGCCAGGGGCTGCCCTCAGGAGCCCAGGCTGCTTGGGGCATCTTTCCACGTGGATCGGACCAAACGCCAGGCGTGGCCGTGTCTGGGATGTGGGCAGGCCGCAAACACCCCTTCGGAACAGCTCTCCCGGTTGCTCCTGTTCACCCCTTTGAATCACATCCTGCCGTGGCCTCCGAAGGCACCAGCGGGGCCCAGGCCATGCGAACGGAACCACCTCACGCGTCAGGGCAGCTCTGCACACTGCTGCCTTAAACACTTGGGCACTGGCTCACGGACCATTAACCCCGTCTGCATCAAACCCAGCCACGGGCTTCAGTAAACTCACTCCCCCGCAACAAATAATTAATTGCAAACAAGTTGAGCAAAGACTTATTAACAAGTGTGTGAGGTGAGGGGTGCTTCCCAGTGTTTTTTTTGTTTGTTTTTTTTGTTTGTTTGTTTGTTTGTTTTTAATAAAAAGTTGAAAATCATTTTGTAAGTCGGATACAATTCCAAAAAAAAAAAAAAAAAAAGTCAGGCCCTCAATTTTCTGCTAAACTTAATGTTAGGTCCCTCTTTCACACCCAGTGTGTGACTTGAACATTAGCATCTTTCAGGGCAAAATAGCAAAATAAAGCAGACATCATCTCTGTGATGATGTCATCTCAGTATTTTTACCCTTCTCTCTTTTAAAGCAGTCCTGTAAGGGCTCCCAAGGAATTTGTGTAAGTATGCTTACTGTGGAGCAGGTGAATTAGCCCGAATTAGGTGGAATCACTGTGGGTAAAACAAACTTGGATGAAGAAAAGAGAAGATGCTTTGAGTATTTTAATAATCTGACCTCATGGGATTTACTATATGCATATGGTAATATGACATTTTGGCTAATTGTAATTATGACAGTTAGCAAGTGATGCACATTTCTAAAGGGTTTCAGATGCATAATGTAAGTATAAAGCCCTACAGGGGCAGCAAAAGGGATCGTTATGCATTGTCATACGTAAATATCCCTCAACTGCAGTTTCTCTCTCTTTTTTTTTTTTTCCCCTTTTATCTTCCTTCTTTTTAAAATCTTTCCTCTCTTTAAGGCGTGTGTAACTCAAGCAAGCAGTGCTTTAGCAGGAACAAGGCAGCTCTGGGGAGGGCTTTTGCATGTGCTCTGTCACCACTAATGTCACAGGCATTAGGTCTCTAGTCCAACTCCAAACATCATCCTCATTTAAAAAAGAAAGGAAATTCCCTTTGATTTTCCTCCCCTTGCATAGTTAGGATCTGTCTTGCAGAGTGTATTTTGCACTTTTGGGGAAAGAGAAGGATAACTTCTCAGCCTCTGTTTTTCATCTTGTGGATTTATCAGGCCTTTTATCGTTATTCAGATACTTTATTTTTCTTGTGGTTGCATGTGTTTTTGTATCAGTGTAGAGGACTATGATAACAAGCTCTAAACTTTGCTGCTGCACTCAGACACATTAAAGACCCACAACTAATATGGCTAATCTGACTTTTGTGCGAACAGGAAGAAAGCATGAATGTTAGAAATAACAGTCTCTTGTGCAGGGCAAGAGTTTGGGATCCTTCGAGCATTGTATCAACTGTGTATAGTCATCTTTTGCTCTGCAGTAAATCCCCAGGTAAAGCAGAGCCCTTCTGCTTCCTGTCTGGTCCGATAGTGAAATATTTCTAACACATCCTATCAGTGTGTCTGGACAGCTCTGCCAATATGGAAAAAACACATTAGATCTGTGAGAGCGTCAGCAAAGACCAAGTGAGCGCCTAGGGCAGGGGAACTCTGCTCCAGGCCACCACATTTCTCTAGCCACGGAGAAGGGCTTTCTCAGCACTCTGCTGCCTGACTGCAAAGGGGGAATACGCTGCCTTGCGTGCCGGGAATAGCACTGGAAGTACGTGGGTCTCATCTCTCCTTGTGTCCGAGGATGGAGAGGTGCATTGGTACAGCTGACACTAGAAATGTTGCTCTGCTGCTGTGCTAATCCAACAAGCATCCACACGAGGAGTCACCAAACACCCGTGAACCTGGTAGGTGCTGCTGCCCTCTGAGGAAGCCCAGCAGGGCTCAGGAGGTTGAGACATTCTCCTAATGCTGATGGGAACAGGGCTGGGGCTGGAAAGGAGCCCTCTAGATCCAGGGCTGTGACCCAGCCTGTGCTAACTCCAGCAAAGTGTTTGCCAGCCCAGCCACGTTTTGTGCCCGTGAGTTCCTCAGGCACAGGGTAGAACCCCCTGAACAAGCAGGGCACCTGGAGCGCGGCTGTGTGCTACAAACCTGAAACGTTCCCCTCCCGCGTGACGTTGGGCGAGACAGCTGCCTTGCTTATCTTGTTCATTCCCACGCTTTGATTTGGAAGCCTCTTAGAAATGCTCCTTCAGATGCCTTTCTGAGCAGCCTCCTGGCATCTGGTATTTGAGTGGCAAAGTTTGGAGTTGCCCCCTGAAGGCAGCTCCCCGCTGACCACGAGTTTAAGGTTCAGCTCTGCCTTGTCCCACGGGTCTGCAGCCCTCGTGGTGCTGCTGGGGGTGCCCTGGATGTTGTCTTTCCGGATGCTGGTCTTCCTTCAATAGGAAAACCCGTCCTTGAGTGTGCCAGCAGACCATGAACAGAAAGGTTGGGAAATGATGGGGAACGTCTGCCATTTGTCACAAAAGAGGATTTGTCAGCGAGTGTATTTCATAATCCGGCTGCCAAGCTCCTGCTGCTCTGACTTGCTCAAAAGCAGCTAAATCAATCCACTTTCTCCTTCTTTACCTTCCTCATTCTCTCTTCCTTCCCCTCTTTCTCCCTTGCACTTTTAACCCCACTCATTTTCCCCTCTACTGCTTTGCTGCTTCCTCCTAACACCTGCTCTTTGTAGGACCTCGAAGAGCGAGACCAGCCTCCAGGCGAGTGCAGCAGCCTGCTCTGCCCTGCCGTTTCTTTAAAAGCAAAACAAAACTCTGCAGGAAATGCACCCGCTGCCACTATTGCCCCCATGAGCGAGTTCAGGGGTGGTTGTCAAGAACCAGGGCCAACTCTGCCGTTGACCAAGTACCTTGACCAGCCATCTGAGAAACTAGATGGCTGGATTCCAAGCGGCTGGTTTGTCTGTGTACTGGTTTGGTTATTTATTCATTTCCTGCTAGCAGTAAACATCTGTAACCGAATAAGACAACAGAGCATAATGGAAAGATTTTGTAGTATCTTTTCCTGAGATGTGATAATACTAAACCGTGCTTTAGATGTGAAGCTCCATATTCCTTTTATGTTTCACCCATGGTTCTCTAAAGTGGCTCTTGATTTGTGGTGTCCATGGAAAAATACCTTTCACTGTAACTTGAGAGGTTAGTCAATATTTTCTTAAGACAAGAGCACTCTAAATTTTGCTTGTTGTGTGCCTAAATTATTATACAGATAAGCTGTGAATATAAAGTGGTCACACTCAGAAAAGTCCAATAATAACTTCACTGTAATGATTACCCAACAAAATAAAAATAAGTGGTTATGAGCAGACAAGAAGCTCCAAGATTAGAGAAAAATCACTATACAGTGAACTTTCCCCGGTGATAAAATCCCACCTTGTAAAAGGCTGCCCGAACAATCCCGCAGTGCTGGGGACTCGCCCACCATCGCTGTAGTCAGGTAAAGTCCTCGAAGTCCTGTCCTTGTCGAGTACTTAATATTCACAAAGATGTGGGGTGAGAAGGTTTATGCTGCAGTCAAGCGTTTTTGCTGCTCGGGGTGTGTCTGTTGCTCTTCACGTTTCATTCTAATCTCATTAACCACATCTTATTGCATGGAAGCTCTTACCTTGAGTTACTGCATTTGCAAAAGGAATAGACTGGGTTTTTTTTTTTTTTTTTTTTTTTTTTTTGACGTAATGGGCACAAGAAAGAGCCTGGGCACCCATTGCAAATGGCTCTAATTAGCACTAATCTGTCACCTCTGCAAATCCGGCTAGCATGAGCAGTGCTTGCTGCAATTACAGGCTGTGAAGATCACTCTCTGGAAATATAAATATGTAAGTTTTTCTCTCTCCCTTTTTTTTTTTTTAGATTTTAAGAAGTGTACTTTAACTAGAGCATGCAATTATTGTCCGACTGTGTTCCTTGGCAGATTTCTTGTTGAGGTTTTAGTAAGAAAAAAAAAATCTTTTCCTTAGACACCTAAAACTTCATGAGAGCATCATTGAGCTGTGAGAAGGATGCAGGTTTGGTACTGGTTTGCTGCTAGAGCTGGTAGCTTGTGAGAATTTATACTCATAGTATGGTCTGTGGTTAAATCTTGCTGTTGGTTGTTTTAAAGACAAACTGCCCTTCAGTCTTTGTAGATTAGCCCCTCTGGGACTGATGAGCTGGCGGGGGTTACAGCATCTTGCCCTAGGTTCAGATTGTGACAGAAAACTAAGTATAGAAAATACCAATAATACAAGCTAAAATTCTACATGAGCAGGATCTGAAGTAGTTTTTCATTTACTTTGCCCAAATCAGTGAATGTTCAATGAAATATCTGCTGCAGAGAAAAATCCCAGGTAAAAGCATAGAATGGAAATGAAAGGGTGCGTGTGCTCATTTTCTTTAGTTCCTCTCCATAGTGGAAAAATACTTCAGATGAGTGTTTTCTTATATTCTCCTCCTGGGAAGTAAACAAACCTTTTGCCAAAAATGTTCAGCCCTGTTGACTCTGGGCAGTTGAAGTTTATGTGCTGGCCGTGTGCCAGGAACCACCCGGCAAGAAGCCCCTCTGTTCCGGAGGTCAGATGAAATGCGAGAGGGCCTCGGGCCTGACAGCTGAGCGCACGTCTGCTCTGATGAGAACAGGCTTTTATTCTCGTGATCCCACCCAGCGCAGCACGTGTGGCTTTGGGTGGGAGATAGCAGAGACGTGGCCCAGGCACTGGGATATCTCGAGCAAGGGGCCTCTGCCTTGTGTTTCTGTATCGGCTCCTGGACACCGTGAAACCAAACAGGAACAGGTCATAATTCAAAGTGTTGCTGCTGCCGTCTGGACTTGTCACCTGGGGGAGAGTCGGGTCTCTGAGGGCTTGGGAAAGGGAGCCCCAGGGTCAGGGAGGAACTGCTCTTTCTCTGTGCAGATGAAGTGATAATGAACGCTGCTGAAGGGTAAAGAGGACCATTCGATGCTTCTCCCACCGTGAAGCTGTAAAGCATCCCAAGTGCTAACCTGCAGGAACGTGATGGGCAGGACTGCTGGATTCAGCAGAAGGCATTCACCCTGCAAAGGGCTATGCCCTGTTTCTCCTGAGTCTTTTACAAAGCTTTCCTAAGTTTGCATCACACTAAATCTTATCTTACACAGGAACAAATAAAATTCTCATATGGCCAGGTGGAGACTTTCAGACCTTGCATGTAATTGCCCATTTTGGTTGGGAGCAATGCTCCCTCCAGCAGAGTTGCAGGGTGACAGGACAGGATGCAGGTTATGAGATTGGGTCCCCTTGGCCTTTTGTAAGAAATGTGCCTTCTGTTATTACAGGTAGTTGGGTGGGTGAGTAGGCTGGCAGGAGAACACAGAGGAGGTGCAGCTTGGCTGGCCAAAGAGCTGCCCCAGAACCTGTTGTTCTAGGTCAGCACTTTGATTCCACAGGAGGCTGGTAGGAAACCTGCATCCTGTGGAAGGCATTGCTGGGACTGGCTTGCAGTCATAGCATAGGAGTGATTGCAGCCCTAGGTGTCACAAGGCTGAGCCCACAAGTCTTCTTGGGGAAGTGGGTGAGGTGGTGGACATTTCCACAGTGATAAATTACTTCTTCAGCAGTCATCCCATGCACTTAACTAGCATTTGGCATTTGATGATAAAATAGCTTACTGCTCAGCCAGGTCTGAACGTGAGAGACCTTACAGCAATAGTGGATAGCCAGCTGTATGTAGTAGGGCCAACATTTCCAAACGTAGGTGGCTGGAATGAGTAGCCCGGGATGTCTGGAAGTCCTGTTGGGCAGCGGGAGGCCTTGGATCACGTGAAATATGGTACTTCATGCAGGGCAGGAAGCAGCTGTCTGCGTTTGTGGGTTTGTGGCATTTCTGCGTTATCTCCCTTCTGGGGGGTATCTCCCTGTACCACCATGGGCGAAGGCAAGCTCTGCCCGTCCCCACCAGCTGCGGCAGGGACGGCTCGGGGGCCCTGTCCCACTCTGGCAGGGGAGGGGACGCTCTGGGGGACACGTGCGGCCCATCCGGCCCGACGTGTGGCCGGGGGCCGGTGGCC